TTCCATGTGCCAGCGGACACGCAAATGAAATCACAACAGACGCAGGGCAATCAAAGTATCAAGAAATTGCCTTGAAGGCAAGTGAGATGTGATGCTCTATATACACGTCAGTATTGAAAACGCACGAATACCAGAACTTATCTCGGAATAGCTTTACTGAACTTACGTTTCAGTTGAAATACGATCATATTTCCACAATAAAAATTATGTCGTTTCGTAAAATATTTTATTATAAAAAATGCTAAACGAACGATTATTCTTATTTATCATTAATTGTAGCACGTAAATTAAAGTCTTAAACTAATCTATTGTCTCATTTCATTTGCTATCACGGTATCATTTATTAATTTAGCTATTTACTTTGAATGTCGAATACTCTGCCAACCGCCGTCGCTGATAATACTTAGCTTTCAAAATCTTAAGTTACGCGGAAGAATATAAATTCCTAAGTTAAAATGAAAATTAAATAGCGAGTATGCCATAAAGTCGGAAGAGCGGCCTGCTTGGTTATTAACTGCTCGAGGTAACTATTTGTCTTTCCGAAAGTCCCCGTGGAGTTTCAACTAGCGCCCGAGATGCTCTCTTCCCCTTCTCCATTTAGCTAATAAATATTGCAATTGCATCGAGCCGAAAGTACAGCGAGATAATGGCGTTTTTAGTCCCTCATTATCCGCATTTCGCGTTTTCGTTTTCGCGTTGACGTTGAGCGATATCTCGTCGTTCGTCGATGACGTGGCAGAAGGACGCGTGCACGGAAATGCGTATCGCACACGTAAGATTAAAATCAAAAAGCGCCGGGTAGGCGGGACCGACAGGAGTCCCCTCGGATCGTTAATAATAATTACGAATTAACGTGCCGCGCTAAAGCCGCGCCGGGGGATTGAAATCGCCGCAAATGTAAAGTTATGACGAGGATTTATAACAGTGCGGGCTTGGGTTTGGGGCGCGGTGCGGCGTTTCTACGAGGTGTAAATTGCTCGCGCAAGAAAGAAAGCCCCACGCTTAAACAGGATAGCCGGGAATTATGTGAGCCGCGCGCGCTATTATGTAAAATTATGTTTCTCCACGGTGGCCTATATGTGCTCGCGCGAAGGAACGCGCGAGGGTGACCGAGCGAGGAGCTCTCCCGCTGTGAAATCCGTACGTAAGCGACGCACGTGTTTCACGACGTTAGAATGTGATCCTTCGTAACGATCTTACCGTGGCGGCACCTGAAAAATTTATCCGTGTCGACAAACTTTCCGTGTCGGGAAACGCGACTACATCCCGTGAACACATCCCTCGTTTCATCCGAGCAATCGGTGAAACGAAACGGCATTTCCCTCCACACTCGCCGAACGTTTCGCCTAACGTTCACAATTTCCAGCGGCGAGTGGTTTTCCACGGACGTGCGACGGATGCCGGTGAATGGAGTTACAGTTTTATGAGGCCGGGTTATGGTAGCGCGACGCGCCGAGAGGGAAACCCTCGACGCGAGCGAGGGTAGGCGAGATGTTCGTTACGCTGCAAGTCGTTGCGCCCGCTAAGACGATTAAAGAAGGAGGGGCAATGTCCACGTGGCAATATAATCCCCGTCGAGCTAAATTCGAGCGACGAGTTAAAACAGAGTCGCTCGCATTCTCTCGGCCGGCCTATATCTACGATTACACGGCCCGCCGACTCCCTCGGTGGAGATAGAACCGATTATTCTACTGGCGGCACCGGTTGCAGTCGAAAGTTCCGCCGTAACGTGACGACCGAACCCGACAGGACCGAAAGTTTTCGGCCTGCCCCCCCC